CCCCAAAACCCCAAAACCCCAAAACCCCTTTATGCTTTTAGAAATTATATTTAATTCCGAAGATGGACTATTTTTGGTGCACATTAGATTTGTAACATAAGAATTATCATAAGTTTTAGTTTATTAGTCGGGTATCTCAACTACCCTTTCTTCTTGAGGGTGAGATGAGGGTTGTGGTTGAGTTCCAGCAGCACCATCTCCTGGAGCACCTCCTGGAGCACCTCCTGATGCTGCACCAGGTGCATTTCTTTGTTGCCTTTCCTCATCTCTTCTCTGTTCCTCCCTATTAAAAAGGTTAAATTTCGAAAAGTTATAGCTCACATTTCTTTGATCTCTTCTCCAACATTTTCAATTTCTTGCCCCATAAACTGGAATGCAGAGGTGATACTGTTGACAACTCTGAATAACTTTTGGTTACAGTTAGTGCAGGAGTGGTAAAATTGCCTAGTTTGTCTTCATTGGTTTGGAAGACAGCAGTAACAGAGAGGGCAGAACAACACCATGTATAAGCACAGAGGAACTTCACTACAGTTGCATTCACTCTCAACTTTTGTCATGTATGTTTTTAATCAGAATTTGCAATACGCACGAATAGGGGTTTCCTGAGCCACTATTTCTTTCCTTGTAGAATCTTCTTGCTATAAAATAAGGCTAGAATATTTTATCCAAAAGAGAGTGTAGAGGGTGATTTATCTTTAAAAATCCATGCCAAGTTTATATCCAGAGCAACCAAGAATTCAGGTAGCCTGAAATTTTAATTTGCTCTGAAAATCTTAAGTTTTTGAATATTAAGCATATTTTAGATTAGCAAATTTGATCTAATCTCCAGTCAAAAAGATCTAAACTGATTGGATTTAAGTGCAATAATATATCAAAGCCAAGCTTCGTAAATTTATGAAAGAGGCTATTTTTGTAAAAGTAGGGCATTTATCATATCTGCAAGCCTCTCTTTGAGCTTGTAACAAGCTAATTAAGATATTTCATATAGTATTTTGTGTTTTGGACATTAATGAAAAATATTAAAATTCTATCAGAATGATGGCTTATTTTATATTTGAAAAATGGGCCTAGTGCCAAACAAAGCACAAGCAATAAATATAAGATTGGGAAAGGATTAGACAAAAAATTTTGGTGTGAAAGATATTTACTATCAAAAAACCTACAAAGTAATTTTACAATGTTATTTTTTGCCCAATACTTAAAGAAGATCACAAAAAGATACTTACAGCTCTTTTCCTTTCCTCTGGGTCATCTTGGCCTATAGCTCCATATCCATTTCTCGCAGGATCCATTAAAAAAATTTATACTTCTACCTCAACACAAACTCCAATACCAGGGGTTTTGGGGTTTTGGGGTTTTGGGGTTTTGGGG